GCCGAGGTATTATTATTATTATTATTATTATTATTATTATTATTATTATTTTATGATTGATTTACTATAATATACAAGAACTTCTTAACCCGCTTCAGCAATGCAACAACCTCCTTCTCTAATTCCCCAAGTGAAAAAAAAGAGAAGGGAATGAAACAATATCCAATCGCCTGACAATTAACTTCATACTTAACTCGCTTCCGATGAGCCGCATCAACCACAACCCGTCTAGAAGCAAAGTCAGATAGCCCATACTATGTTAAAGAAGAAGACCCTGTCAAGTCAACACACACATCGTGACCCCGCTCCTAAGAGCAAAGTAACATATCTACAGGTCTAAGGGCTCCATCATTTCCCCCAAACAACCCAATGTTAACCTCCTTCCTTGTTGAAATCCCAAACCGATAGCAAATATCAGCCAGGGTATCCCAAACAACATTATGCCGATGTTTAATACCCACAATACCGGCACACCACACCGCATGATCGGCGAAAATATCCCCATCAAAATTAAAACTCTTGAGCAAGCAGATTACAGTGCCGAAATAGAGAACAAAGGAGCATCCAATCGATAATACAACAGACTGCGATAAGTCTTCGCGTTCATCGTCTGACCCTACCCTGAAATAGGATCCGCCCAAAGCCAAGTCGAGGTATTATTATTATTATTATTATTATTATTATTATTATTATTATTATTGTTATTGTTATTATTTTATGATTGATTTACTATAATATACAAGTACTTGCCTCAAAAAAAAAAAAATTAAATAAATAAATAAATAATTAAAAAAAGAACTTAATTTTATTTATTTATTTTTTTTTATGATAGTTTTAAACCTCATCTCTTACGAGTATCATAAAACATTTTTAGTTTACAAATACTTAATTTTTTCTAATGTCTTTTACAATCAATTTTAACTATAGGTTTCAAAAAAAAAAATGTTTTTCTCAAGCAATTTCAGTCATGCATTTTTTTTTTTTTTAGGGACTGTCATGCATTATACATTTAATAATGATAATGAACTAATAATAACAGGAATAATCAACTGTGGTTCCATGCCTCATTATAAGAAAATAAAAATAAAATTAACTTCATGTCTTTGCCATTTCATTTATTTTACTTGGCTTATTCTACAGTTAAACACTAAAACTTACCAAATTCTTAGAAAAGAATATGAAACGATCAAATGATTTACAGAAAAAGAAATTTTAATTTCTAAAGTAAGTATTTATTGCCAAAATCAAACTAGATTCCTGCGACAATTAATTCTTAATTTGTGTTTACTTCAAGGCTTTTTACTCATTCAAATGATATTAACCAGTCAAATTGTCAGTTTCACAGTACTGTATTCTGTATATGCCTCTTTGCATTCTATTACAAATTGAAGTACAATTATTAGTAATAAATAATTTAAATAGACAAAGTGTATTATTAATAATAGTATAATCATATTTATTTATGTTAATTAAATTCAATTAAATTGTATAGTTCAACTTCCTCTATATAAACCCTTCATTTTATCAATAGTATTACAAGTAAAAGTAAAAGAAAAAAAAAATCAAGCATTTTTATTTTTTGTAGTTTTTTTACTTTAAAGCAATGGCAAATTTCACTCTCTCCTTTTCACTTCTCTGCTACACTGTCCTGCTTTTTTCTTTCAACCGCGGTAAATATCTCTATTCTAAGTTTATATCACCGACTTCTCCCTTTTTTTCTTACTTCGCTCTCTTCGGAATTAATAATCATGTTGATTATGAAACTCAAGCTTGTAACGTGACAACTAATTGTTGAACAGTGTATGAGGGAGTTTCAATGTTTCATCTAGCCTATTTGTGTTTTTTTACGTATTACATTATATAATCGAATTTTACGTGTATTGTAGGTAGAATTTTAGCTCAGGATGTATCTTTTGCAAAGGTACTAATCTATACATGCACTTCCATTTTTATCAAACCATTTTATTAAATGTGTGTTACAATTTTAGTTGTTGTGTGTGTATGTACATCGATAAGACATGGTGCGTGGCGAAGCCGTCAGCTGTTGATGCAGATCTGGAGAACAACGTTGAGTTTGTTTGCAACCAAGTTGGAATTGATTGTAGCATAATTCAAGAGGGTGGTCAGTGTTACTATCCTGCTAGTCTCGTCAACCATGCTTCTGTTGTCATGGACCTCTACTTTCAGAAAGCCGGTCGTTCTGCCTTTAACTGTGATTCCTCTAAGACTGGTCTCCTTGCTGTTACTGATCCAAGTATGATTAATGAACGCTTGTATCTGTTGATTGGATTGATTTCTGAATCGCGTTTTTCTCTAGTATCTAGACGGTTGTTGTTCTGTTATTATGATTAGTGTTGTTAACGCGAGTATAGTGGTCTAGTGTCACTTTTGTGCTTACATGGTGTGCTTATTTTGATTTTGTTTTGCAGGCTATGGAGGATGCCTCTATCCCTTTGTGTAGTGGACCGGCGTCACATTACAACTATATGATCGATAACGAATAAATTTGTGTTTAATCTAGCTATAATGGAAATCAATTAGAGTGCTACAGAGGATATGATAGTTTTTATGTGACTGAATTAACTATATATTGTACGAAAACAGTGTAACTATTGATACATTGTTGTAGTTCAATGGAAATTGTTATTCAACTTAATAGTGTTTTACATTCTTACAAAATTATCTTCTTTCATTGATTCCGTCTTTGCTTTAGCTGAATATATGTTGATCTTGTTCATTCAAAAACCAAAATAGACTGTAACAGTCTGAATGTCTGATGTTGTCTTTCACTGAAACTTATATCGTCGTTATTAACTAGTCTATAGTTATTGGATGAAATTTGAGGTCCAGGGTCGGTCATACTTTCTGATGTTCTTGTTTCTTTTCGGATCACAACGTACATGTAAGTTAATTGGCATACGGATGATTACTGTTAGCTTAGCTCGCCTATTTAGGACAACAGATGGTGGCACAGGGGATGCTGGAAGATTAAAATTTAGCATTTGTGTCAGAAAGTGACTTTAACATTGCAAATTTAGTTATGCACAATAATAAAAATGATTTTGCAACATTATGAGTAAAAAAGTTTGCAGTTCTGCACTATTGTTTAGACAAATTCTTATAGTTCATGTGTTTCTGAATTCCATAATGTCGTAAAAATCATTCGTACCTGCATCGAAATATGACTCTTACCCAATAACCCATTCAAATCGAGTCAATTGGGGTTTTCTAAGACTAACTCATAGTTGAACCAAATCCTACTTATATGATATGGTTAATTTTCTGGCCACAAATAATTAAGGGGCCTTAAAACTTAAGCAACACTCTCTTAGAAGACAACCAAATTACTTGATGAGCTATCACTTGTGTATGGGTGCACCACAAGGGGCTTCAGCCGCGCTTCTCTGCTGTTAAACCATGCCGTAGGTCTCTGAAAGCACTAATTGTGTTTCATATATGACCGAAAACTTTGCAAGGATGCTGCTAATTTGATAAAAACCTTTTTTTGTGACATAGTAGAAAAGACTACTACAATCCAGTAATATACTTGAGTCCTCTCATAGGCTTCATAATAGCAACAACTTCAGAAAAGAAAAGATAAAAATGGTTTCCTATTATATCAAAGAAAAATAATAACCACTTGTATAATATATAGTTTCATTTTGTCAAGAATGCTCGAAAACTTCACACATAAAAAAAGCTCATAAAACAAAATCTCGGAAATAAAAAGTAAAGATGATACATTACCTAGAAAAAACATTTATCCAGCCTTATAAATACCATTTATTCTGGATAAACATTTCGTCAAGAATGCACGGAGTATGTTTTTTGTATGTACTCTTTCCCTTAGTTCACCTAGCCATTTTGATCAATACTTTTTGTCATCATATTTGACTGCATTCTTGTAGATATTAAGCTTTATATGGCCAAGAAATCATTGGATATAGAATACATTTTCACATTCCTTGAGGCCTCATCTTGCCACCTATAAGTTGACAGTTGCGTCGTGGTTTTTAGCAAGTGATATACGGAGTAGAAGGGTACATTTTCACAAATCTATAGAGACGAAGTTGTTTTACACTGCCATCACAAGGTTAAAACTCTGAAAAGCATGTCCAATGTAACGGAATGCCTCCTTTCTTCATTGACGCGACATTTTTCACTATCTGATTCATTATCGTTGATCTTCTCTGTTTAGCCTTTAAAATGCACAGCTCCTGCAGGCACGTAACATTGAGTTGAACTATTTCGATAAAATAACAAAATTTGTAATGGGGCGATAACAAGATTGCCAAGGAGCTCATACCTCAATTACATCATAAGATCTTTTCACATAGCAGGTTTTGGGGTTCTCGGGAATGTAGAGGAAGTGCTAAACTTCTGACTCAAGGAAGTGCGATATTGTAATTTTTACTGGCCTTGACATAATAGACATATTAGACATTAGCACTAAAAGGAGGAAGACAACTTGACAAAAAAGCTTCAACTCACAGCGTATTAAACTGTCTCATACACGGTCACAACCCCATGCTGTATGTAGATCTCTGAAATCGTTTTCAGATAATACCTGCACAGCTGCATTAACAGCGTTTCTATTTCATACGTTGCATTTACATGACCAAAAAACTTTACAAAGATGATTAGCTTGCTAGTTTACCAAGTATATACTCACTACTACAATCCAGTCCAGTGTATTCATTCACATAGGCTTCAAAAATGCAACTTGCTCGATCAAGAAAGACAAAAGATATATGCCGGCTTTCTATTATACATCCCAAAGAAAAGAAGTTACTATAATATACATTTCGTTTCATCAAGAATGCTAAAAAAATTTCTTCCACTCACTCAAAAGCTTATAGAACAAAATCCCAGAAATATATATACTGGCTTTCTATTATACATCCCAAGGAAAAGAAGTTACTATAATATAAAGTTCATTTCATCAAGAATGCTAAAAAAATTTCTTCCACTCACACAAAAGCTTATAGAACAAAATCTCGGAAATAAGAAGTAAACATGATGTGCATGTTATTTAGCTTTATTAGTACCATAGGATTCTTACAATATTCGTATATAGACCCTTAGAGCTTTGAAGTGGGCTTAATTAGATAGTTAGAAAAGAAAGATGATACAGGAGAAGCATAGGCTTTGCTTTTAAGCTCCTCATTGCTTTCACCCTCGAATTCTTTGCCTTCGGCTGCTCTGCTTTCTACTGTTGTTGCTTCTTCCTCGGCGTCATCTACCATCTATTAACTCAGTCAAATTGCTTTATCAGTTGATGTATGTTTGAAGACTCCCCAACATCATGGGTGTGGAAATAAAAAACCAACTTCAAACGGCAACAATGGCTCAATATAACATCAAACATACATGAAATCTTTGTGAAAGACTAAAGCAATACTTGTATATATAGTTTATTATGTAAACCAATTAATGGATTACGTTACTATGTTAATCTTGGAAAAGGATCTTCTCACAAAAAATGGATGCATAATTATGGCCCTTTATTAGGAGGGAGTCCCAATTTCTCATTATGAGAAACACTTATTTTGGAAAATAATGTGATGTTTTTCACTAGTGGGAATCACGTATGTATCATGAGTGGGAGCCTCATATCTTGACACATACCCCATGAGAAACAAAACTTGTTTCTCACAATGAGAAACGGAGAATTACCCCTTTGTTAGATAAGTTTAGTTAAATGAGATAAGTTTCGACAAATGAAGGTAAATAAAACAAACACAACTTAGTTAAGGTGATAATCGAGCATTAGATAGACAATTAGCTAAGACACCCCCATTATGTTTATATTGGAAATGGGGTAACAAATAATCAGCAGAGCACAATTATATATAACACTATATATAACCAGTTAATTGTTAGAAAACTTCATTGGCACAATAAGGGGGATAACCGATGACCTCGAACTCCATCGATAAAAACTTCTTTATCAATATAATCAGGGCATTCATTTGGTATTATTGTAACATTTGCAACTACAACATTTAGATGCAAATTGTTTTGTTTGAAAAGTTTACAAAATTGCAATTAACACCGTCCTTAATGATACCCTTAGGCCTTGTTCTTTGAGCTTCTGAGCAGAGTAGAGCAGATTTCAGCAGAGTAAAGCAGGTGTGAGCAGATTATTAGTACTTAATAGAGCAGAGCACGGCTAAACAGCGTAGAGCAGATTTTAACAGAGTGGAACAGAGCAGACCACATCAGCTTAAAAGAACATGGCCTTACTCATCCTAAAATTACCCCTCCCCTAAAAAAAATTCCAAAAATTACCCCTCACTACTAATACATGCATCTTGCCAACTTTAATTTAATGTGAAAACTCTAGATAATTCTTTTTTTTTAAAAAAAAAAAGAAAAATAGTAAAATACAAGGATTTGATTAGGAACGTCTTCTATTACCTAAATCGTCACTTAGGAAATATCTAACTATCTAAGCCACTTTTAACTTTGCAAACTTTTTTAGAGCATTCGTTCAACTCTAGCTAAACTATTTTAACACTAATATATAAGTTGTGTATGTAAGTTGTAATTGTCATTTGAGAAATCAAATACAGTAAACATTTTCTCTCTTATATTGGTATTAAAGCCTAAGTAACTATATCTAAAGTCCACTCTCTCCCACAGTTAATGAAAGCTCAAATTCTTCACAATTATTGAATTTCATGAAAGTCCCATTGTTGTATACAAATTATACGGAGTATGTGTTTGAAATGCTGCATAAATTATTGAGTTTGTGTGATTTTATGCTGCGAGTTTTGAAATTCCAAAAGCAGTTCAATTATAATGCTATGTATTACAAATTTACAATCTATATATATACTACATATATAATTTTTATAATAATAAAAAAAATAAAATAAAATAAAATTAACCCTTTTTATTATTGGCAATATGATCTCTTATCTCTCCTACCCTTCCCTTCCTTCTCGACTCAATCTACCTACCTCATCGGTTTTTTTTCATTGAAATTACATCTTGAAGCAAATCGTTTGTTATTTTCAGATTAAATATCTTTCCCCGTTAATTTTAAACCCTAATTCATATATTAAGTATTAAATTAATCACACTTATTAAAACTAAATCGAATTATGTTCAATTTTTTTTTTTTTCAGATAATCCAAACCAAACTCAAAACTTTCACTATTTCTGTTCCGTTTTTTTGGACCGTATATGGTTAAGGATACTTTTTAAATTTTTAATTAATTTCTTGAGATAGTTGGATAATTGCAAAATACTATGGGCAGTGAATCATCATCAAATAACTGAATCAAGAAGATCAAAATCAAAATCAAATGTTGAAAAGTTTCTTTGATTATGTATATGATGATGAGATCTGACTATCTCTAATAAATTAATAAGACAATTTACCATCTTAGTTATATACAAATAAAGTTTTAAAATGTAAAAAATAAATAATTTAGGTAAAATATCTTAATCAATAACATAATACTAAAATAGACACCAGAAATGACACGTGTCATTTTCTGGTGTTGTTTTTCCATCCAAAACTTCCCTCTCCCTTTTTAGCAAAAATCTTTTATTTTTGGAATATTTGGATAATACAATTAATATAATATATTATTCTTAATCTTATATATTATTTTTATAATAATTGTATTCCTTTTTATTTCGTATTCTATTTAGTTAAAATAGTTACACAAGATTTGGAGACCTTTTAATTAAGAAAGAATAAGCTATAATTTAGAAGGTTGAAATATGATGGAGAGTGTAAAATAATATTGGGGCTAAAAATACAACATTATTACCATTATATGGTTGTATAATAGTGGGGTTCAATGAAGAAAAAAAAAACAAAAAAAAAAAAACATTTTTATTCGTGGTGTTGATTTGAAATAATAATAATAATAATAATAATAATAATAATAATAATAATAATAATAATAATAATAATAATAATAATAATAATAATAATAATAATAATTGAGTAAGTTTTCCATTAAATATTTCTGTAATAATTTTACCAACTTATAACATTTTTTTCCTTTCAAAAAATCTATCTATTAACTATTACTAAAACAGGTCATGCTTACATCGATCATTTTGGACATATGTCAAGCTATCATTAAAAATATTTCTCGCAAATAAAATATATGATTTCAGCTTTAAGTTTTTTTAAAAAATTTATTCTACTTAGCTTATTTTTTGGAAGTACATTGTATAGTATTTTAGTTTTTGGGACTAAATGAATTCATTTATAAAAAGCCATACAACATCTACATTGTATAGTTTTATTGGGAATAACATGCATCATTAATATATTATAATGTACACTATTTTAAAATATTTTCAACACAATTAATAAAAAATAATTTATTTTTTTCTCAATTGTAGTTTTAATAATGTTTGTCTTATTATTTCATCTTTCTTATATGCATTGCATTTGTTTATTCCACATGAGTTGCCGTATTTTTATATTACATCACAAATTAATTATGGAAAAAAAGATTATTACTAGCGTACATCGCACGGGCACTAATCTAGTAGTATTATATAGTGGTGTGCTGCTTTAGTAATACATAGTGATACGTGATGTTTACTACAAAATTTTCGCATATTAAGCCGTTTTAAATTTTTAGACAAAATCTTAATCATCCATAATTCTGTTTATGATGTAAAATGTAAATATAATGTCAAGTATGTAAGAACACTTGATATTATTGCTTTACTTGAAACGATAAAATAGTCAAAATACAATGACATAAATTGAAATAAATTGCACCAAAAAAGAAAATAATTTGAAATATTTTAATGATGGTAACAAAGAAGGTAGTTAGTGATCCTAATAGGGTTGAAATATAGGAATGTCAATGGGGCGGGGCAGAGACGAAGGCGGATGTTGGTCTTCCCATCCCTATCTTCACCTAACATTTTCATTCCTATCCCCGCCGCCCCAGCAGGTACAATTCCAAAACCATTCTCGCCTCACCTCCACTTGGATATCCACCCTCACCTAATCTCTACCCAAGATTTGCCTAATTCACGCCTCTCAAATACACAATCCTACGTGATTAACATAGATTACAATAAAATAAGTCATTGTTAATATTACAAACTTTTTTGTTGATAATATAAGTGTATTAAAAAGTATTATATTTCCTCCATTTTTTTTACTTGCATCATTTTGGCTTTCACAAACCCCCAAACATTTTTGGAGTAGAGAAAGGTAGAGTAAGAAAAAAAGGGGGTCATGTGATAGAAGAAAGATAGAAAAAATTAATTAGTTAAAAAAGAAAGTGATGTATCTAAAAAAATGGAGAAAGTATTTACATATGTTTTTTTTAATTTTTTTTTTTTTGAAACACGGCCCAAAGGCGCTTAGCTTTCATTCATAGGGGATTCAAGTTCCACAATAGAAGCAATACAACTCGAATAATCCGAAAGTCAAACTCTACTACTAGCACCACATGGCAAGCAATGTGCAAGCTCATGGGCTACTTTATTACATTCCCTATGAACAAAGCTCCACGAAACAAACTCAAGCGAACTACAAACATGATAAGTATCATCCAATATCAAATGAAGACTACTTCCACCTCTTTCTTGCGACTTGATTGCGGTCAAAAGTCCCTGGCAGTCCATCTCCACCGTAAGCCGTGAGAACCTCGCATTTATAGCAGCCTGCAACCCCAAAAACACTGCCTTCACCTCTGCTATAATTGGTTCCCACCTCTCCTCAAACCTCCACGCAGCAATCAACACCACCTACCCCTGGTGATCTCGAACAACAGCTCCAACAGAAGCCCCCAACCCCTCAACAGACCCTCCATTCACATTAAGTTTGAGAAGTCCCTCCCTTGTTGGTTTCCATTTCTGCCGAGACAAAACCCCACCAAATCTCTCCCCTTTTCCTCTTTTTGCAGCTCTTTGACTAACTTCATGACATACCCAATTGATTGAGTGGGATTACACACCTCGCCCTCAAAAATCCATCGATTTCTTGTTGTCCCAATCGTCCAGCAAACAGTAAAGAAGAGACCATACTCTTCACGGTGGATGCGAGCAAGGCAGGCTTGCACCCAATCAGTGACCTCCGCAAAGAACCCATTCTCCTCTAGCTTCAATTTGCAGCAATCCCAAGTCAATCTATCAATCACACAGTCACGAAGACAATGCAGCTCAGTCTCAGCTTCCACCCCATAAATGCTACAAGTTGTCTCTTTGCAAGGAATTCGTTTGCTAAGCCCCCACAAAGTTGGCAAAGCAC